TAACAGAATTATATTTAAATTGCTATTGCTACACTACTATTTTTTAAAAAAATAACATCACTACTATATTGCTACTACATTATTAAAAAATAATCACTTTCAGTAAAATATATTGCAATATGGTATTTTCCAAATATGTAATAAAAATTTGGTATTACATTTACTTACCTGATTTTAAGTAATAGAGATTTCAAAAGTGTTTACAATTTATTAATAGATCACTTTATATAGTTAATTATTAATTTTTTTTAATACATTCTAAATTTATTGTTAAATAATATTTTTTTTTTTCTTTTTTGTATTGCAATGTTTTTTGTTTTGAAGTATATTATTGAAAATTTGGATTTTATTAAAATAACTTGTTTTAATTAGTAGTTTTCTCTTTTAAAATAATACTTATTGTTTTTTTTTTATATTAGAATTTTTTGAATTTATATTGTATATCTTATATGTTTATTTTTTAGATTGTAATATTTGTTTTAATAATAGTTTTTATATTATTTTTAGTACTCTATTAGATTTTCTTTTCAAAAAGTTTTATATAAAACTTTAAAACTTTACTTAAGTCTTTTATATTAGAAAAACCAAGAATAATAAAACTTTTTTTCTTTTGAATTTATTGTTTATAAATATATAAACAGTTTTAATATTAAGATATTGGATTATATTTATTACTTTGATTATTAAAATATTTTTGTTTAATATATAGTATATAGTTTGATAGTAATAGTATTATATTAAATTAGAATCTTAATATAATTTTAATATAATATGATTTTGATTATTATAGTTTTTATTAATATGGTTTATGTTTTTTCTAAGTTTATTAAAAGTATTGAAAATATAACTATTGCTGATTTGAAATCACTATTGTTGTTTTTCATTTATATATTTGAAATTAAGCCATATTTGAATATGGTTTCTTTAAGTCTTTTGATTAAAAATTTAAAGAATATATTCATTCTTATGATTTTTTTTTTGATATTGTTTTACTTGTGATTTTTTTTTAATAAAAGTATATTATTTATTTTTTTTTTATAAAAAGTTATAATAATCATTTGAAATTGAGATATTGTTAGTTTTTATCCTTATTTTAGTATATTGTTATTTTTTTAAAAGTGTAAAATCATTTATTTGTTTTTTCTTATGATCTTGATTTGAATTTTTTTGTATAATAAAAGAATTTTTAAAAAGTTAATTATAATATTTTGTTAAATATGTGTTTATTTTATTGCTATTGTAATTTTAATATGAGTTTGATACTTTTAAGATAATTTTTATTTTTAGTATAATAATAATTTAAATATATATATAAAGTTACTAAAATATTATTAATAAAAATTTTTAAATTAATTTTCTAATAGTTTAGATTTAAATTTTATTAAAGATTTTAGAGCTATTGTTAAAATATATACAGTATAAAAATAAGATTATTTTAAAAAATTTTAAAATTAAAACAATTTATAATAAAAGAATAAAACAAAAATTTAAATAAAAATTTAAATAAATTAATAAATTTAATAAAAGAAAAATATGATATAATAATTGCTAAATAATTTGAAATTTGAAATAAATGATTTTTAAAACAATATGGGTAATTATTTTTGAAGGCGACAATATGATTTTTTCTGATCCAACTTTTAACAATACATATATAATATAAATTGTAGGATCACACCAGAAAATTTCCGGTTCACCTTCGAAAATAATTATCCATATACATAATATTTAGAGTGATTGTCAATAGATCTGAATAAATTTTTTTGATAAATTTTTATATTCAAAAAAATTAAACATAATAATAAGTCTTGAAATCTTGAATTTATTAATCAAATAATATAAATGCTTTTATAAAATCATAAACTTTTGAAAATTCATTGTTAATGATTGTTTAAAAAAAACAAATAAATATGAAATATGCTGAATTAAAAACAAAATCATTGGTTTTATTATATTTTCGTGAAATATAAAAGATGATGCCTTTTAGTCAGATTTATAAATTACGATAAAGGCATTAATTTATACTTAAAACAAGTTCATTTATTCAATTAAATAATTTAGTGCAATACAATGGATTTTACTTATTTAATGATTTAAATCTGCTAATTTGACAAAATGTCATATTATTATATTTTGAATCTAAAATCAATATGAATGTTGAATTATGAAATATCGAATTTTATTTAGTTAGGTAATAATATATGATTTTGATTTTCAAATCAGCAAAATTCTTGTGAACATGATCTAATAATAAATTATCGTGTTTGAAAGAAAGCATGTAGTCAAATAAAAATTTGATGAAATCGGGTTTTTTGTTAAATCCACATATTTATTGATTGATTGCTACGTATTTTACAGTACTTTGTTAAAAATAAATTGCGAATAATAAGAAAACAAATCTATTATGATAGAAAATCCTGTACTATTCAAGAGTGATATTAATTAACATTCAGCAATTCAGCTATCAATAATGTTAAGTGAGTTACCACTAATTGAGTTTTGCGACAATCTGTTAATTGAGTTAATGAAATGTACAATATTTTTCAGTCTGACATCTTTAAAAATAGAATATTTAGGACCAGGCAGAAGTATCTAAAAAATTCTTATCAATCCAAGTAAATTATTAGGAAAATTTCTTTTGGTAAAGTATCAATAATATTTCAAGAGGGATCACTAATACATACAGTATAAATTGAAACTGTGGGGTCGATAGGAACTGATAGGAACCGATTATCAGTATCTCTATGCGCCCAGATCGATAATTCCGCACCGTATATAGGTTCAAATTAATGAATGATGAAGCTGAATGTGAGGGAGATAAAATCCATTCTATGTCGGATTTTTTTCAGATCTATCGTGTCAGAAACCATCCAGTTGCGCATATGTTTGACAATATCTTAAAGTACAGCAAGAGTTAACTGGTTTGGCCATATGCTAGGGATAGATGGTCATAATCTGAATTCTGTTGGCGTAATTACTATACATTCATTATCATTATCCAAGTGAATAAAGCGTATGAAATCATGAGTTTTTGTTACGCAATTATAAGATTAACGATTTATTTGTAATTCCTTATTGTCCCTCCTTTTCAACTTCCCATTTCATGACACGTTCTCTTCAAACAAATACAGCACTTGTGATTGTAATTATATTAATAACCGGTTTTAAATTTTCCCCTTCATGATGTTATTATGATTGATGATAGATCCTGCGTATCTTCAATGCCATTAAAGGTTAATACAATCTGGATCAAACCAGTGATCTCTTTCCTTATTTGTATACTTCCAACCGGCTTTCTCGGACTGACCTTTTTAAGCTTCTTTACCAGTTTCTTCCAATGCACGATGGACCAAAGTACGTTGTCTTGAGGGTCCCTTGACGCTAAATTTGCGGTTTGACAAGTATGAACAAGTAATAGAGGAACACGTTATAGACCAGCTCTCATCTACATTTCAACAGGGATTTTTGCGGAAGATCCTGAAATGACATTATAGGTGTATATTGATTGTATTAGCACCGTAGATGTGACCACAACATGCCGTATTTTGCCGATGCAATAACCTGGCAACCAGCAAAATAGTCCTTTTAACAAATTGCGTGAGGATTCATCTGCTAGAATTATAAGTGGTTCATCGAGAAAATTATCCTCTCATTTGTCCCATTTCTTTTTCTCTTATAATAAATGTTCATCTTAACGCTTTGCGAATACCCGACCGCATTCTATGTATGAATTTATAGAAAAAGACTCTTTGAAAACATTGGTTTTTTCATTCTTAATTCAAACGGTTGAATCATAAAAGCGAGATCAGGAGATATGATGGATAAGTCATTTTTTACCAATGAATGAATGATATCTCAAACGTTATGTGTAACCACAAAAATTTACATGGAAGAATTTTTAATTTTGCAACATTGTACAATGTATTTGTTGTTTGCTTTCACGATGTAGGTTTGCAATAATCCGGATTATTTACATGGAACACATTAAGAATTGGAATCACCAGTCGGACCTTCTTAATAACCGATCACCTTCGCTAAAATTTTCAAAGTACACAGGGCGCAGTAAAATTAGAAAAGTTACGTACGTACTTACGTATCAATGAAACTTCCGGAAAATGACCTGATGGTGGCTC